TCATTTGCTTAGAGCATTAAAGTTGTGAAGAGAGTTATTTTCTATTAGATAATCAATTATTTTCAAAATATCGCCGATAATAAGATTATTAAGATAAAATCTTAAGACAAGAATTAGATAAAACACTCTTGTAGCTTTATTAAGATACATTCATAAAATCTTTTAAAAAATTAAATTGAATTTCCATGAATGAAAAAAGTCTGCTGTCACAAAAAACTTCGTCTGCCATTCAAAAGGAGCAAAAAGTTTCCATCAAATGCAATATAAATATTAGAAACATAATAACTACTCTTATAAGATGTAGGAGATTATCTTTTTAATTCCCTGTGACTATTGTTTGAATTTAAAAGTGTAGAAAAACTGAGAACATAAGTAACCATACTGCAATAATTTGGAAATCAGTTTTTACAAATTCTGAAAATCACCGTGATTTATTTGTATTTCTTCTTCTTGTTGACGACGACCTCTAAAAATCAGCCTAGTTGCAACTGATGGTAGAGAATGGTTAGTATAAAACATGGTCAGTCAAAACTATCTTATCTATTTGTATCATTTGAATGTAATAACAGTCAAGTTTGTTTTGATTTGTCATTGGTGTGAATGGTTAGTATAAAACATGATCAGTCAAGTTATCGTGGTTCAACATTTTCAAGACATTTGGATTTATAGAAGTAGTGGTGATAGTACATCTCGTTTCGATGAAGGCACGTCTCATTTCCCGTAGTAGATGTGACAAGCATAACAGTTGGAAACTTTGTAGTACATCAAATTCATTCTTGTCTATGTAAATTGACTCAAATGATTTTTGTCAACTACTCGGTAGATATGTAGTTCATGGCTAGTTCCTAGCACAAAAAGTCAGATTGAGAGCTTAACCACATGGGATTAGCAATTATGAAGGTTTTCATGAAATTCAATGCCAACGCATAGTGCAAAAACCTAAAAGCCAATAAATCAAGTTTTTCTAAATTTAACAAATGGTTTGAGGGTAATTCTCCAACCTTACAATCCTCACAACACATGTAACATGGTTAGATTGTGACAATCATAACAGAGTTGTTAGTTTCTTCAAACAAATGTTTTAGCCCTTACTATAGATATCTAAAATATTAAAAAAAGAGAGTAAATGACTAATTAAATAACTTTCTTCATTGTATGGCCAATTTTAAGATTTAGTGATAAAAAGGATGATCCATATCAATTCTTCTGTTCTTAATTTATGAATGGCCACCTTAAAAATTGGGGAAAGGATTCATTCTTCTAAGCCTGTAGATGCATAGATTTTGCTAGAAAAAAACTGGGAGAAAAGATTAGAACACTAACCAATGTATTGAAATGCATATTCCCAGCAACTTTGAGAACATGAGGCTGGAAGAGCTACGATATGTTTTGGTAATTTTAAAACCTTGTGGGTGTGATGTTATTGCTAGTAATGCAAGTTCATGTGTGTTCTATTAAAGGGAAAGGGAAAATACTCGTAATTAATGTACAATCTGCATATAATTTGACTATATTGTAGATTTTGGAATAAGGGACCTAACTCTAGGTATCGATACTCAGCCATCAAGAGTCAGTACAAAAGGAGATGCTCAAGGATGCCCAAACTTCTACTTTTGTTGACTTGGACAATTCCAACATTTTATATGTACACTAATACATACACATTACGTGTATCTTATGGACACCATGTGTGCTCTCCACTAGTCTTTTTATTCCCATTTTTCATGCAGTCAAGGAAGAGAAAAAGTTGGCCTAATCTATTGGTCAATAAAGGTTTCAAAGAAGAATGCGCATCTCATTTGCCAACCAGCTAACAGTTTGAGCTTCGACGAATAGATAGATAGTTTCATTGAACTCAACCTGACATTTTCAAAAGAGCTAAGGTATCCCTTAGGATATTTTCAATTAAATACTTGACTAACTATGTGATCATTTAACTTCATTTGATCATAATAATTGCTAGAATTAAATTTTCTTCATTGATCAAATGCTAGACTTCATTTGATCACAAAACGTCATGATATCTTGGCATTTTGTCGGAGTGTGAATCGGAAGCCGGGGAACCCCGGAAAGGCGCTGATTGCGTGCCGGATATTTCGCGTCACATGACGCTGAATCTGGTGGAAACACTCTGGCTTAGGGCCGGGCCCGTCCGTAGGAGCGAGAAGAGCCTAGCTCGTTCTGAGGCAGCAGTGCAGTAGCAGTTGCAGGAGTAACGAACAAGGGGCGGGCCGGAGGGTAGCGTATAAATTCCTCGACCAGGGCGAGACGCCATCTATCCCCATCCGTCCATGATCGGTCAGCCGTCCCTTCCATCTACTTCTCCTCCCCTCTCTCTCTCTCTCTCTCTCTCTCTATACCTGTATAGGGACAACATCTTTTCTCCGATATCCTGTCTACCTGATCTACCACCCTAAGGTGACGTTGATGGCCTCTTGCACTGCCGGCACTAGTCCTAGTGGACTCGGAGGATGATCGAAATGAAGCTGGTGGTCGCCCACAGAGAGAGATAGCGAGAGATAGCGAGAGATAGAGGATGGTGGAGGGGGCCGGGCTTTACTTTCTGGTTTTATGATGCTCGTTTTCAGTTGCGCTCCATCAACCTCCTCCTCTCTCAATCCCGTCCTCGTCTCTCGATGGTGTGGTATCTCGGTAAGTGGTGGATTAGTCGATGAATGGCGTGAGAGATGTATAAGACAGCGAGAGAGAGAAAGAGAGAGAGAGAGAGAGAGAGAGAGAGAGTTTGACGGGGAGAGATAGGAAGAGAGATAAAAGGTTGTGGGGTTAGAGTGTGACGGGAAGAAGAGGGCAGAGGCAGAGACATTCGCACCTGACAGTTCACTACTTGACCGGCTTTATGGCTGAAACGACCAATTCGTACAGTGAACTTAATTTATAGATTTTGATCGAATGATAACGCCAACGAGGGAGAAACTGTGCAGGTAGAGAGGGGGAGATATAGCCGACTAGGGTAGCGTAGGCCTTTTGTCAAATCAAGGTGAAAGGAGGAGAAGCACGGAATCAAAGCCCCGGGGAGGAGAGTGGGGGCAAGAAGAGGACGAACGGGAGAGGTCTCTGATGAGGTAGACTGACGGGTAGAGAGAGAAAGAAACCTGAGAGAAGGTGCAATCCCTCCTTTTCGACAGGCGGTATTACCTGCCTCGTGCGTTGTCGTCTGTACAGCGAAGCAAAGAAACCTAAACCACACATAATGCTCTTTTCCTCTTTCAATCCCATATCTTCTATATCTCTCGGGATCCTTCTAAACCCTTCTCTTTCTCGATCTCGCTCAATATCTCGTTCTAAATACCTCGTTTACGTCTTTCTCTCTCCGATCAGTTTCGATCTCTCGGGACCCCCTATCTCGCGTTATATCTCTCTACCTGGCTTCTCTCTCTCCATCTCGTTCGATATCTCTCACGATCCTCTGTCTCTTCGATCTATCTCGATATCTCTGACCAATCTCGATCTACATAACTCTCTCTCTCTCTCTCGACTGCTGCTGTCACTGCTGCTCCTAGAATCGTGTCGAGAGGATAACCCGTTGGTCACTGCCTTTGAACGACCACTAGAAGACATCCTTACCCTTCCTCTATCTCTGTTCCCGGTGATATTCTCCTCTCTGGCTTTGCGTTATCCAGGCCTTTCTACCTGAAGCTTTTGTTCTCCGTCTTCCATGCCGTCCTCTCTCTCTCCCTCTCTCGCTTTGAGATGGTCCAGTGAACGAGGAGAGGTAATCAGACTCGTTTGTTGTTAGATCACTGTTACAGGTTTTATTATCGAGAGTTATGCAATAGTTTTACATAATCTTTTCTACCTTGGGAAGGGAAGGACTGACATCATGTCACGCAGAGGCGCCCCTTTGGCATGCTATAATATCTTATCTCCTCTCTCCTCTCATGATTCCCACATTCATTGCGAGATCTCATTCGCTATGCTCGAGTGCGGAGGCGATGCAATCTTCTCCTCATCTTTCTCTCTCTATGTATAGCTATATATTTAACTCTCTCTCTCCAAAACTCTCCCACACGGAATTTTTCTCCCTCACGTGGACTCTAGCTCTCAATCTCTCGAACTCCCTATCTGCATCTCTCCCTCACATGGTCACGGCAGCAACTGCCGCATGTATCCCAGCTGCGGCTTTATTGTAGCTCTTTCTCTCTCTCTCCACTTCCTCGTCATCGGGCAGCAGATTTCTCAGGGTTGAAGGCGAAGTGGAAGGGGAGCATCTTATGGGTCCCGACCAAATCCCCATGTGGAATTAACTGAGAAGAAATGAGGAAGGTTACGAAGCAGACGAGCGACAAATGAGGTTTAGAGAGAGAGAGAGAGAGGGAGAACAGTAAATGTGCTGCGATGGGCTGATTTCCTCCCGTCTCTGCCGCTTGTCATGTGCATGTGAACTGAGACTGGCGCAGAGAGGGAGAGAGAGAGAGAGTCACAAAAACTGACTGCAACATAGGATTTTCCTGTAAACGGCAGGGAACAGTAGTCGCTGCAGCACCTGCAGTGATCAGCATAAAACCCGGGAGTGGGGAGGAGAACGACGGGAAAAAGGAAAAAAACGCCACCTAAAAGAGAAAAAGAATATCATTATTAAGCCGAAAAACCCATTGCTCCTTCCCCCGCACAGACGCAGCAGCACTACTTGGAGGAAAGGAGGGAAGGAGTGACAGAGGGAGGGGATATAGAGAGATAGAGAGAGAGAGAGGGTAGAATAGAGGAGAATGGAGAACATAGACGGGTGGGGAGATTGAAGACCGGCAGATCGAAGAAGATATATACACACAGAGTGCATTAGCGAAGGTACGCGAAGAAGGTTTATTGAGAGCGAGAGAGAGCAAAAGCCCGGAGAAGTCGAAAGAATCTTCTTCGATCCAAGGAAAGAACCACCACAGACGGAGGAGATCACCATGGAAGGGTTGAGTAGCAGCGGAGTGATGGGTTTTGCGGAGGGCGGCGGTAGCAGCGGCTTATCCCCGCTCATGATCATGCCGTTGATGGCATCTCAGCCAGCCTCGGCGGAACACAATCTCCTTTTCCTGCCGCCGCCTACCAACCACCACCATGGGGGGGGCAGCAAGAGCAACCACCACCGGCAGAACACCGAAAACGATAACGTCCGCTACCCCTTATCATATCCCGCCGCCATCGGCGAGAAGGATCGCAGTAACATGAAGGCGAAGATCATGTGTCATCCTCACTACCCACGCCTCCTCTCTGCCTATGTCAACTGCCACAAGGTAGGGGAAGCCACAGAAGTAAGAGAATTTGACAATGAAAATTTTAGGGTTATGGTTCCTCTCTCTCTCTCTACCCATCTTTCAAAGTTGGCTTTTTTTTGGTTGTACGTACAGTTGGGGGCGCCGCCGGAGGTGGTGGCGCGGCTGGAGGAGGTTTGCGGCGGCGGCGGGGGCGGGGCCGGAAACAGTAGGCTTGGGGAGGATCCGGCGCTGGACCAGTTTATGGAGGCCTACTGCGAGATGCTGATCAAGTACGAGGAGGAGCTCAGCAAGCCCTTCAAGGAAGCCATGCTCTTCCTCTCCCGGATGGAGTCGCAATTCAAGTCACTCTCCGTGTCCTCCCCTTCTTCCTCCCTTCAAGACCCACAAGCCGCAGGTCAGCTCTCTCTCCTCCCTGACACCTCATCTCTTATCTCTTCCCCTGATCTACCTTTCCTTTCTTCTTCTCCCCTTATCTCTCATCTTCTCAGCCTATCTCCGTCTTCTCTCCTCACGGACCATCTCTTGTTCCTCTCTGCCTTCTCATATCACCTCTTTCCACTTCTTCTGTCCACCCACGCGCTTCTTTTATTTACATGCGTATTCTTCTCTTCCCTCCCGTACTTCTGTCTCACCCCCAGGTCGTTCTTTATCTCGTCAATCCTACGCATCTCCTCTCGGTATGTTTCTTCCTTTCTTGGATCCTAGTTATTTCCCCCCCTTCCTTCCCTCGCCACTTAACTTCATCCGTCTTATTTTAATCATACTGCTCAAGGTGAGATCCACGCAAACAAGAAAAAACCTACTACGGTTGGCAGTTTTCTAAAGTAAAAGCCCGTAAGATCAGGAGAAATTTTCGTGATGGAATTCAACTCCTATTTTATACCGCTCTGCTTGGCCTCAGTAGGCTTATTATAATAATCGTCGTTGAACTGCTCTAGTTCATCATATACTTTGAACCATGTGATGTTAAATCACATCACATATGAATTCTTCTAAGTCTCTTTCTCCCTCTCTCTTACCCCGCTTTCTCTTTCTCCTCCGTCTTCCTCTCTCATGATCATGCTGGTAGCTCTTGGCGTCTGACGAAGGTTGAAAAATCCCTGTCGAGAGAATACGGCTGATTCTGTAGGAAAGCTGGAAGGGCTACATGTCCATTCTTATAAGGATTAATGATGGCTTCTTAGGGAACTTTACTGTTGTCATACTCGCACGCGCACGCACGCACACTGTCTCTCTTCATCTCTCCTCTTTCTTTCGGTTTTCGGTGAGCTTTCTGTGCTTCCTAGGCTTCGTTAGGTTAGAGCTAATTTCTTAACAGTTCTCTTCCTCTATCTCCCCCCCCTCTTTCTCTCTCTCTCTCTCTCTCTCTCTCTCTCTCTTTCTCTCTCCACCTGTGGTTCTATATATGGTCTTGTTGTTCTTTCGATGCATTCTATAATATCACAACGAAGAACCTTGGATCGCCCCCAGCTCTGTGGCTTACCACTTCTTTGCTTCCTATCTTTGGGGAGTGGGTAGGGTGAATAGCTAGATGATCATCAAGAAAAATGGCTGGAGCATGCCTTTATGAATTTTCCTAGGATAATGTAGCACCTCAGCTATTTAGAGTAATACCGAGCTACCTCGTATCACCAAACATAGCTTATTATTTATCCAGGCTGTCTTCTGAAACCTTGGTCGCTATGGTTCTCTACGCATAGTGTTTCATGCCGTCATCATGCATTCTTCAGGACTACCAAGGTCGGTGTTTAGGGTTCGCAGATGAGAAGGGTTTATAGATGAGACCATGAAACGGTGGAAGAAGGTGGAGGGCAATAGGATAGGGGATCAGAGAGGGAATTTAAGAATGAGAAGACGAATGACGGGTAGAGATGCCTCTGATCAGGAGCAGCATATGGCTTGCGAAGAAGAAAACAGGTGTATTCTATGTCCGCATTGATTCACAAAGTCCGTCGAAAATTATGTCGAAAATCTATAGAGGCACGAGGATTCCTTGAACCAAATGGGCACATTATTCGATTTTTATTCGAGGTCATGCGATGGTAGAAGTCAACGCATAGACTTATGGATCCAGAAATGGATTTTTTTGGCATAAACGTTGCCGCAGAAGTAGAAACTTGTATGATTTGGCACTTCGTAGGTATGTGTCTACTGGGAAAAGGAATAACGGTATGATGGGTATCCTGGTATTCTATCGGTTCTTGATAAACGTGGATTATAAGCCTGATTATCTTTGATGTTGCATAATTAGATGGTTTCTTGGAATCTCATAGCTTTGGTGAATAGTTTATGATTATCATGATTATCAAGGATAAATCGGAGACTTCTTAGCAAGTTTGACTTACGCATCCTTTGTCAACCTTGAAAATGTCAGCACCTGAAGTAAGTATATCTAATGTCTTTACTTTAAAGTTGACATCTTGAGGAACTGTTCTAGAGAGAGAAGATAATTCTATGAGTGCTATTTGGTTGTGATTTAGTTTGCATGAGATTTTTCATAAAATCATGAAAGGATCTGATTTTTGGTTTTAGTCTTGGAATAAGAATATGAAATGAGAAAAAAAGTTGTAAGTTTTTAGCTTGTTAGATTATTTTTCCCTCTTTCATGTGCAGGATTATTCATCTGTTCAGCGAGTTTGAAACGATCCCTGAAATGCTCAGGCGATCGATGCAGATATTTTCTTTACATTCAGCGTGCCAGATCCGTTGACCTGTTACATAGTGGATCAATTTAATTCATAGCCGATCTGGTTTCCAAAAATGGAAACCATCTTGGGAAACCTAGAGTAGACATTCTGAACGATTTTAAGCTTTCTACGAATGCGAATCCGTGGTTTGGAGTGGTTTTGTGGACGTAAATGCCCAACTTTCACTCGGGCTAGGCCGTCTCAGATGAGTTAGTAGGCTGTTCCTGGCTCAGGTGATCGGTTCTAGGATTTAGGGTTAGGGTTTAGTTTCCATTCAGCATTTAGAGTCTTTGCTACTTGGACTTGAGCTCATTAGGGTTCTCAGCCTTGTTGGACCTCGTCTGCTCCTTCCGGGTGTTTGACTTTTGCGATGTTTCTTCAGATCTCCGGTGATTCTCATCCCCATGGGGAGTTCTTAGCTAGGAGTGATGTTTGTCATTCCAATGGCGATGGAGCTTGAATGCTACTGTTCGTGGGCGTTGCAGGCCAGGGCGAGACGTCGGAAAGGGGCGGCGGGTCCTCCGAGGAGGACGCGGACATGGCGGGCGAGGCGTACGTTGATCCGCAGGCGGAGGACAGGGAGCTCAAAGGTCAACTCCTACGCAAGTACAGCGGCTACCTCGGCGGGCTGAAGCAGGAGTTCCTGAAGAGGAGGAAGAAGGGGAAGCTCCCCAAGGAGGCGCGGTACCAGCTGCTTGACTGGTGGAACCGCCACTACAAGTGGCCCTACCCCTCTGTACGGCGGCGCCGCCGGCGACTTCCATTACCATCTCCGGCGATCTTGCCAGCGCTGGTTGGGGGGGGCGGTGCTGATAGGTGGGTTGGATTTGTGTGCAGGAATCGCAGAAGCTGGCGCTGGCGGAGTCAACGGGCTTGGATCAGAAGCAGATCAACAACTGGTTCATCAACCAGAGGAAGCGCCACTGGAAACCAGCGGAGGAGATGCAGTTCGTGGCGGCGGCGGCGGAGGCCGGCCGCCCCCACTACTACCTCGACAACCCCGTGGGGAATCCCTTCTCCGTGGGTTTCGCCTCCCCCTTCTCCGAAGTTCAAAGACCCATGTAGCTCTACCCTTCGGAGATCCAGAGAGAGAGAGAGAGGTTTGCCTCCATGAACTGGTTGTAACCATGCTCAGAAACTGCGGCATTTTGATGGACGGGGCCTTCTTCCTCCTCAGTGAGTCAGTGTAATAAATCTTTTCTAATGCGCTCTTCACGCGCACGGTCGAGCAGAACATCGCCGCCGGGGAAGACGACAACGGACTCCCGCCGGCGGAAGTTCCGCCGGGGGTTGAGGAATACGGAACCTGTGAGAAATCTACAGGGGAGGAGAGGAGAGAAGTCTCCGCCCCTCGGGAAGACCATAACATTCTTCAATTTTCATTCAACGTGATCTCAGACAGATCAAATGCAGAAACCCCGCATTTGGATAATCACAGTACAGTGTGCAGGTATCTGGACATGGCGGAAGAACCCAAGCTCCTCGTCTACAAGAAGAAAGCAACTGGACATGGCGGAGAGCAAGCTCCTCTCTACTTGAAAGCAACAATGGCGGAAGCAAAATAGAGAGATGGGGAGAGGGAGGAGGGGAGGGAGGGAGGGCCTCACTCAGTAAGGGGTGTAGTAGGCAGCAGCTCCGTAGGCGGCGGGCGGCATGCCGTAGTAGGGCATAGGAGGTGCGGCGGCGGCGGCGTGGAAGCTGAGCTTGGCGAGGCTCGCCTGGCCCTGCATGCCGTCGCGGGCGTACTGCTCCCAGACCTGGTTCTCCTGCACGAGGAGCTGCTGCTTCTTCTCCATGTCCGCCATCTGCACGTAGGGCGGCGGAGGGACGACCAGGGAGGCGGCGAAGGGGTCCTGGTTCACCGCCTGCACGGAGCCGTCCGGCGCCGGCAGCGCTAGCACGGGGGTCGTCTTCCCCATCCCCGGCAGGGCGACGCTGCTGGCGCTGCCGCCGCTGCTCATCTGCGCGTTCACGTGCTGCCGGACTACGCCGGCGTCGTACATCCCGTTGAGCAGCAGTGGGTCCATGCCGCCGGGCATGGCCAGCTTCTGCTTGGAGAGGTTACTTGCGGACTCCACCAGGGCGAGCTCCCAGTTGGCGTTGCCGGCATCCACCGCCGGGTTCTGCCATGCTGAGGTCACCTGCTCTCCGGCGGCGGCGCCGCCCGACGGGAAGGGTTCCCACGAGCCGCCGCCCCCGCCGCCGGTGGCGGGAGGGCCGGAGAAGAGGGCGAGAGCCAGTCTGTTCCCCTGGTCGTCGGCGGAAAGAACCTCCTCCCTGAGATCCACCAGGTTTCCACCACCGTCCTGCTGCTTGCTTTCCGGCGGTGGCGCCGCCTGTTGCTCCTCGAAGCCCTCCGGAGCTGGGAGGGCCTTGATGCTGCCCATATCCTGCACGGGTTCCTCCTCCGGCGGGGCGGCAGGCGGCGGCGCCTCGGCACGGACTGGTTCGGGGCTCTTAGGCCCCCTCGCCCTGTCCACCATGAACTCCTCCAAGGTCTCCAAGAGCTTGTTGGTTATTAGCTGCACCTCGGGGTACTCCGACGACCTCGCCACTCCCGTGTCCTTGCACCAGGCGTAGAATGAGGCCAGCTCGTCGATCTGCTTGGCGGCACGGGCATAAGCCTCGAAGGCCTTGCTGCAGTCCGGATAGTCCATGTCGAAAAAGCGGTCCAGCAGCACGGCCAGCACCTCGCAGATGTCGGCGTAGAGCTGAAAGCTCTCCCTGACGACTGGGTAGAGGCCGATAAGGATCATCCTACTGTTCTTCGCCATGCCCGTCGGCCGGCAGGCGAGGAATCGGTCGAGCAGAAGCTGCAGATGATGCATCCTCCCCAGGGCTCTCTCCGGCTTCATGTCCCTGACCGGCGTCGGCGCCTTCTTCTCCCCTCCGCCATTGCTCTGGTGTCTCTCGCCGTCGACGTAGCCCGCCGGTGAGGAGTTGGATCGTCTTCCTCCGTAAGGGTCGTCTCTGTAATCTCTGTAATCTTCATGGCGGCGAGGAGTTGTCCCCCACCGCTGCTGATCGTCGTAGTGGGGACGATCGCCGCGAGCTCCCCTGCCGCTATCGGCGGCGCCGCCCTGCTTCCTCTCGTACAGGGTGCATTCCAGCCGCTGGTCGAGGTAGAGGGCGTAGGTGCGGACGAAGGCGGAGTGGTCCCAGGAGTGGGAGTGAGCTTCATCGCGGAAGTCGGAGAGGTTGAGGAGGCGCGTCCCCTTCCTGGTGGCGTATAGAATCTCCTGCTGGAAGGCGGGATGGCCATCCTCCATGAGACGATGGATCAGAATGAGGCACTTGAGGGCGACGATCCAGTCCCTGGTCTTGCCGAGGCGCCGGGAGATAGTGGTGATGCAGGCGTCGATGTAGCCGCCGGAGTAGGATGTCATGTTCAGAATCTCTCTGAGGTACTTCTCGTCGGCCGGCTCGTCGTCGTGGCCGGTGGCCTTCACAATGGCGACGTCCAGCTCCGGGGCCACGGCGCTGGAGACCTTGGCTATGCCGATGCTCGTCTGGTCCTTCACCGCCCCTATCACCTTCCTGATTGTGGTGGGCGCCATGTCTGGCCCGACTGCAACACCCCTGTTTTTTCCCCTTTCAATCTATGTCAACCTCCGAGATGCTCCGGGACCTGAAATACTACCAGATTAACAGATCGGCAACACAGAATTTGACAGCACCTAATTCAGAACATCGCGAAAATCTACACCAGGGATCGTATGTGTTGAGATCGATCGAATTAGGAAGAATAGTCGATTGAAAGGGGACAGGTTCAGACCGGATAGGGCTTCCTGAACAGAGGAAAGGAAGGAATAGATTACAAAGGACGGTGCACCATACGGGTACCGCAGGGAGAATCTAACAAACAAATTAACGGAGGGACTCCGGTAGGTGATGTTGAAGATGAAGATAACGAGGAAGAAAGTTTGCAATCACCTCACCGTCCGGCTCGTTGATTGCAAGTAGCACAGGCCTCCTTGCGGCCGCCCCTACCCGAGTCAACGCAAATCAGACCAGATCCGACGCTGCCGTCGAACAAGGTGGAACAGGTCCGCCGCCGAGGAAGAGATACGCCAGCGGTGGACGGATCTGACACAGAGGCGATCAAGGAGCACGGGGGAAGCGGCGGATGCGGATAGATCTGGATCTGCGGCACAACGGAACACAAAGATCTAGGAAGAGCTGGAACGGTAACTCGCGGGGAAGAGGGGTCCTGCAGCCTTGATCTGCCCACCCCCTCCCCTCCTCTCCCCCGATCTCTCTCTTGCAGCCTCTGCTTTCAGATTCCACAAACAGAAATACTCTACTACAGATCCGCCTCCTCCCCACCTTTCTCCCTCCCCACAGCTGGCTGATGCCCTCCTCCCTCTCGCTCTAGCAATGGCGTCGGCGAGGCAGAGACCCTTTCGCCTGGTAGGTCGCCCTTGTTACTTGTTTTTGTCCCCTCACGACTGCGGACCAGTTCTCTCTCTCTCCTCTCTTTCTATCTCCTCTCTCTCTCTCTCTCTCTCTCTCTCTCTCTCTCTCTCTCTCTCCGCACTCGGTTTTTGGTTTCTCTCTCTGCGGGCGGCTGGCTGGCCCACCCTTCGCCGCAGCTTGAGGTGACGGGCTGGCTGGAGTGGGGCCCATGGGCCTAGCTTAATGGTCAGAAAATTAATTTTACCGAAAAACTTGTGAAGAAATTTAAAGGTGGAATAAAGGCCAGAGAATAATTGAAAACCACCGAGAGGCCATCACCGAAAGAACTCTCATCTAGGAGGACTTGGACGTTATTACACCACCACTACCCTCTCTCTTTCCCACCCCTCACCTTGACCCTAGTAAAGTCAACGCCGTCATACTTCATTGAACGAGAGAGAGATGCCCCGGGATAATCGGGTCTCGGGCCGGGCTCAAAGGTCAACGGAAAACCGGGCCCGAGGGTCAACTCCAATGGGATCTGCCGCTGGCGAGCTGGAGCCATCGTCCCCAGCTGTCATCACGTATGGCTGGTGCTCTCTCTTTCTCTCTCTTCCCCCACAAACCGACTGATGACCTGTCAATTGTGACCGGAAATGTGTCGCGCATGTCGTAGGGGGTTGAAGTTGACTTCAATCATTAATTACTAGTGATATAATTTTTAAACGGAAGCGCGGTATAAGATGACGAGTAGCATTATTAGTCATCCATCAAAAAGTAAACCCGTTGACATACAACAACGATGGGATCACACTAGAATATTAGAATTTTAGGAATTATTGTAAAATGAAAAACAATTTGGCCCTGATTTGTTTCCATAACTGGGAACTAATTCTTAAAGTACTTCCTCATCAACCGATGAAAACTTATGTCCGGTGATTAATTACCATAATTGCACTAATGAGCTCATAACAAGTGACTAAAAGGGAATCATTTTTGTGCAAAAAATGTTGAAGAAAAGCTTGTCGGAGGGAAGAAGTTGACCTCAGTGGAGTTCCATTCAACTAAAAATATCTTTCTAACCCTTTGCATTGTACACTTTCAACCTTACCCAAATCTGGACTTCTATCCCACTCCACCTTATATTGCCAATTCTCTCTCTCTCTCTCTCTCTCTCTACCTCTCTATCTATCTATCCCCTCTCAGTCTCCATCTCCTCTACACTAAAGTTCCACTTTTTTTTTATCAATGAGGAATTTGGAAGCTAGAAAGAGCTAATTTCTTCAAAAAAATTTATTCTAGGAAAGAAGATATTTATTTCCTACAGTCTAATACTACACATTATTTTGCATATAACATATTTTGTGAATTTTTTAAGGTACACAATTTTTGTATATGATCATCATACTCGCTCTTATAATCCCAATTAGGGAACTCCTCAAGGGAAAACATTGATTCATGATGTAGATCAATGAATCAAATGTCCCATGCAAGATCAAAAACAAGGGCATCACCATGTGACACAGGTGTATGTTGAAAATATTTATGGCATGTCTCAATTAATTTGATAATGACATAGAAAACCTTGAAAGAGATCAAAGATTGAGGCCCACAAGAGTAGCTTGGGTATATTCTTGACAATAAATCCCCATTTTTAAGATATGCAATATATGGATGGTTTCAATTTTGTAAATTGTATGATCACTAGAGTTAGATAAATAAATGATAATGTAATTGGGAGATTTTAAGCATTTTATTACATTTGGGTGAACAAGTCAATGAATTACACTTAAAATGTGAGACAATTGAGAAGGCCATGGTGTTTATATTCAACATTCATCATTTTTTTGGTAAAAAGATCATGATTTATTTAACAAGGCCCCATTAAAAAATCAAGAGGATGATAAAGAGGTAAAACCCAATATAACGAGAGATGTGCACAAATCTCCTAGGCAATATTATAAAATAGAGCTTTATCTTGGGAATCAACATAAATCAATACTTCAAGAATCAAATTCAAATGTTAGTAGAAGGTGATAGTATTTCTTGTTACTTGAAAAAAGAAAAGAAAAGAGGGACATCTAAAGGCGCATGGAAGTGTGCACGGAGGTGGACAGATTTGAGTGGTCTGATCTACATAAGGATCTAAGTGCCTGATAAAAAGATCGGTAAAAATGCACACGAAAAGGGAGACTAATTGTGGACTATAAAGTTGGGCTTGGAATCAAAGGGTATGAAGATAAAGCCTCAACTTTTTATTGGATGCTGTCAATGTGACTTCAATTTCTAACAACTTTTTCATCTCTCTATTTGTTTTCTTATTAGTTTGTCAATCAATTAGTTACTCTCTCTCTCTCTCTCTCTCTCTCTCTCTCTTCCTCCCTCTGTAGGCGTTGACATTTTGCATGTAGAGTGGACTAGGGCCAAGAAATTCTCTTGCCATAACTCTAGTTCATCACCGAAGCTGCCTTTATCAAGATTCAGAGTTTGGCCAAGGTCCAACGACTTTACTTGATGATGACTGCAAGTGTAATGGTAGTTTAATAATTTCCAAAGGACATAGAGAATATCAAGGCCGGTGCCTAGCTCTTGGTTACTCTCATAGAGAACCATACAATATTGTCATTAGATGATATATTGAAATATTATCTTAAAATTAAATTTGATAACTATTTGGTAAATTTTATTCTATATCTTCAGACCTGAGAGTAAATAATAAGAAACCCCATTTTTTTAGGTCCTTAATTTGCATGATACTTTCTTTTAAGAATAATTCAGTATATGAATGTGGGTGTCACTGGCCCAACGCAACCTAGCAACCTGCCTCGGCCCAATTTAGTAGCATGGGCCGGCCCATCAAAGTTGGACGATAAGTTTATACACAAATATGTAAAATATTTGAGTTAAAATAAATCTTGGAGGAATTCCAGTACTTGAGGATAACTTGAACACAGCCTTTAGTCTAAACACAAATACATAATGTACAAGGTAGAAAACATATTGTTTATATTTTTGTATGCTTTTCTGGGAACTTGGTTAACCTTGGCGGGGAGGGCAAAGCGCGGGACGGGTGGTTGTCGCCTCCGTCATCGCGGGGGGCAGAGCAAATCAGTGATCATCCTCTCCCCTCAACAACTGTTCTCTGGCAATTCCCTGCCCCATCAGCAGCTACAGTGGTGCAGGGGAGGGTGTAAGAGGCAGAATTGAGTGCTGGAAGGTCCTGTGAGTTTGGTTGACGCATGCGATGGCGGGCCTGGAGGTGTCAGGGCAACAGGGACCGGATCGGGCGGTGCCTGACGGTAGGTTTTGGAATCGCCATCTGATTTATCCGTTCCAATGTTTTTTTGGTCTGTGGTTTATTATTCTTTTGTGATCTGGCATGAGGGAGTGGTGGTTTTCCGTCTACCTCGGGGCCTAATTTACTTTAATTGATGGACAGCGGGGTGTTTTCGGTGGATCCCGCTGTTATTGTCTGTTATATGTTAGTCTTGGTTGCATATGCCGTTTTTTAATTTGATTTTAATCTGCGGTAGATTTAATTTTACGGATGAAGATTGGACCTTAGATTGGCTCTACGACGCAAAAGCTTTCAGTGGATCGAGGAAGCCATAATGTGTGATCCGTAAAGAGAATATGTGAGACTCTCAATTTAGCAGCTTAGATAGGTAGGAACTGTGTTATTGTCCCCCGAGAACTTGAGATGCAGTCATTTTTGAGGCTCCATTGCCCATCGGTACTTCTTTTTCTTCGGAATCTGCATTTCATTTGTCATAAAAATTTCTTGGCACAGTTCATCACGCTACTGTCGATCTGGTTTTGAAAACTTTGCAGTTGTTTTTATCATGGTGCGGGTCTTTTATTTGAAGTTTCTGGTGTTACGTGGTTAAGGTTTCTGGTATTTCTCTTATTAACAAAAGACGTACTTGAAGGTCACCTTTTTGTAATGCCTTTTATTGCATTAATTATTTCATATCTTACGGCTTTGAAGCTACCAGTACATTTTCTCTTATTACGTCATATATTCTCTTGGTTTTTTTTCCCTTTCTTCATTTACTGGATGGTTTGATAGGCATACATCTTTTAGAAGGTTTTATAAATTCTGTGGCATATTGGTGATTCTGTGGAGTTCTCTCAATGAGATCCTTCCTTTTACTATATCATGCTAGTAGTTTCGCACTTTATATGAAGTATTTTGTTTTATAAGTTATTATTTGTACCTTTGTATTCGCCAGGAGATCTACAATTACTCCTCATTTGAAGAAGAAGGAACTGTAGGAAAGGATGCTTTCACCTCAATTCGTTGTATCTCTTCCTTTTCCTTGTGGACTCATGGTTCTTCTCTGCTCTCTCAGGTTCTACTGCGTTATTTAGAAAGCTTACACAGTTGACCCATAGAATCTTGGTTAGAGAAGCGCATATTAGGAATACTTCTGGTTCGACTATTTCCATTCATCCTGCCATTTAAATGGTATGAAACGATTCCGGGTTCACTTTCTAGATATAGAAATAGCACGAGGAGATAAGGCAGGTGAAGGCAAAATAGTAAATCTTATCAGCCAGATGCAGCCATTCATGAGCAGTTCACAATCATTTAATTTGTGGCCACATGCCACGAACTATGATGGTGAACTAGAGCATGAAGAACCTAATTCTGAGGCATTCGGGGAAATGTTGGCTTTGGCTACTTCATTGTGCAGCGGGGGAGAAAGAGAGGAGAGGACAGATCGATTAATCTCCCTTGGAAAAGATGATTGGGTTTGCCACTGGGGCAGATGTTGCTGATGCATTTGGATTGTGGCTTTGTGGTGTCAGACTGTGTTAACTGCCGATATTATTTAAGGTTTTTTTATTTATATATTGAAGGGGGTAGTTTTTTTTTTGGTCGTAGATTCCTTAGAAGGTAGTAAAGGTAGTAAAAAAGTAGGAACGGCAGGAATCTAGTGAAGAAAAAATGGTGCCATAGTTACTAACATTGAGCGGTTTATTTTCACTTCTTCTGTGGGTGCAACTCCATCTGAATGCTGCTTTGTTTTCATGGCATGATAATCGGTGCGCTGGGAATGATTTAGTAGGAAATATGATCTATTGACTGGGGAATCCACCCTCCAGTTATATTCGTATAAAAAATGGTTTTCCATCTGATATTTGCTCAATTCGGAGGCATAAAATCTTCATAACAGGTTCCAAAACACCAGATATTATTTTGGTTTATTTTTGTCCGATATGTTAAAGGAATAAGAATTTATCTCCAGTTTTTGTACATGTGCTGACGGGAGTAGGGAAACAAGGCTTCTTTTTCCAAGTGCTGTGCGTTGTTATGCCTTTAGGGATTTGGAGATAAGGCTCGTATTTGACCTCATCAAGTGTTCTAGTCGTAGGCTGAAAGTAACCTTGGTTCCCAATGGCTGAAACGCATCATTTATTTTTCCTTGTATCCTCTGTCCAATGATTTTTTGTGACTATCTCCGATGGCTATCCATTGCTTATTTCCCAGCCGTGGGAACTGAGTATTTTCTCTTTATTCCTTTTATTTTCTCTGGTGGCCCATCGTTTTCCGTTATTATTTTTTTTCTTCGGTTTCATTTTAAACGTACATGTTTGAACTGTATTTTTGGTAGCTGGAAGGCAGGGTGCCTCAATGCTGTTTGTATCTAATGAACTTGAAATAAACATAGCACTTTTTAATCCCTTCTTTATTTGCAGGATTGTCCCCTTTGCTCATTATTTTGTAAATATGTGCCTAAAGCTACTTATTATTCTGAGCGATTTTGTTCACTTGTTCTGAGAGTAGTTAATACCACATATTCATTTAAGTATTAATAAGAAAAAGATGTACAGATGTTTACGATCAGGTTCACCAAAAATAAAAAAAATTAAGAACAATAAGCTGCAGAAAATTGGTGTAAAGCATGTTAGAAACTGAAGGTACTGAAAATGACGGAATTGCTTCCTTTTCACTGCATAAAATTTCGGTCACTTTCAATCTAAGATAAATAAGAGCGAAACATGTTCCCTGCAAAGAGATTGTTCCACTCCAGATTAGCCCAAAGGATATGTGGGAGTAAGCTACCTTAACCTACAATCCTCTGTGAGTACTGAGTACATTCTACACTTTTAATACTATTAGAGAGCTTCTTGGGGACGAGCTTGTATGCTTGTCATGTGAAGAAGCTGCTTCTGTATCTCCTGTGAAAAATATCACCTTAGGAACATGCGATCCACGTCCTTTAATTCTTCTCCAGGTTGGCCGAGGGAAGTTTTGTTCCCATCCATATGAAAAGGTAATCAACCAAGAGGAAGCGGATTATGTGTGATCAATAGGAACATTGATTGGTCTACCATGGTCAACCAAACATGAGCCATAGTTTATCTTCTACCTTTGAATAGAACCCTACATCTATTGGCTTTCAAAAGAAAAATGTTTGAGTTAATAGATCTTCTGAAAATTCGTGCGTACTATGAAGAAATTTTGTCCCTATCCTTGTCAATCAAACTGGTTTTGTACGTTAATTAAGATTCTTTGCGCTTCTTGATTCCCACTGAAGGAAGTACCAATGGGAAGGACTCCAATTGGCTAACCAGGAGCAAGTTTTGAGACTTTGAGAGAGAAGATAAGGGTTTTTGGTCTTCAGGTTTATGAAATCTGCATCGCCGAATATTAAATTTATGAGCTAATAGTAAAAGCGGAGATTGAAAGATCACTAGTTTGGTAAAGTATCTTTACGTTGTAATTTGACATCGATTCTACATTGGAGATGTTCGATATCAATTATATAAAAATGTCCTTCCGAATAGTATTTAGTCATTATTGGTTACATGTTAAATTTTCTATGGTGACAGGGTCCAGAAACGTCTATGAATTAGTTTTGGAATAACAAGAGCAAGAACTAGCTGATAAAAATGGAATGATTACAGCGTTTGCTCCTTATTTTAGATAATTCTAAAAGACAGTTTCCTCCATGTTTCTGTTAATGTTGTATCTTGTTGGTCAGACTTTATGAAAAACAAGATATGCACAGGCATTCCGTCTTTTTTAGGCGAGGTGGAAAATGTTTTTATTTTTGAGGAAGATCATTCTTTTAAATTCTGAAAACTCAAGCCTTCTGCTATCAGGCGAATTATGTTGTGGCAGTTTTCCCGCTACATCTTTCTTCCTATTTTTTTCTTTTTATGTACATTTCACTGTAACTTAAATGAAATTTTGACATACTCTGGAATACATCTGAAGGTCTGACTTTCAGAACGGGTCATCTTAGTTTATTGTCCAAGGATCATGTCTCTCATCAGGCCAGTTTGTATTACTCAGTTTCCTTGAAGAACTTGCTTAGGTGTTCCATTCAATGGACACTTTCTCTGGATAGGAGGTGGAGGCAATGTAAGCATTTTTAAGCCTGAGAAAGCTGCTGTCTTTCCTTGAACTCCACAATCCTATTTCTATTCCCAAGTCGTGTAGATTTGGAATGCTGTCATCGATTCTTAGTTCTGGGGATTTCTGATTTGAATATATTGGATCGTGGCTCGGAGTTTTTGGGGATATTGCTATAGATTAAGCAGCTGGTTGGAATTTCAGAATGGACTAATTTAACCCTCTTTTGTGTTTTAATTTTATCATTTATGCTTTTCCCCGAGCATTAAGAAAGCTCTCTTCATTGTTAATAGCGTTCTGAAATTTGCAGTAAAATTTATATGAGATGAGTATATTTTAAAATAGAGTTTATCAGAATTCGTCCTTTATTTTTTTAGTTATAATATTTAATTTATGAGGGATATCCTATTTACTACTCATGCATGAGGGTTTAAACGTTCATAATTTTTTTTTCATATGCTTTTTCCAGAGTCTGCAGAATCTCTTGGCACATTGACGATAGCTGATGAAGAAGAACCTTCTGGTTCAGAGAATCTGAAAGACCAGGTATCTTTTTAATGAATATATAACATCTATCGTTTATGAAATTCATGGTAATTTCGGCGGTTATATGTCAGATTTCTTCAACTAAAGATGAAAAGATAACATCTCCAAGAGTTCCGTCCAATGCTACTGCCACTGATCCCCCTGAGGAGACAACCATCCAACTGGGATCATTTGATGCAGGTCCTGATGGTAATAGCTACCAGCCAAACACGTATCAACAGGCACACACCATATATTATGGAGGTCAGTGCAACTAACATCAGTTGGGGACTTGCTGTCTACACCTGTTGCCATTTTGGACAGTTTTATCTGAACAGATGACCCATAAAAGGATTAACACTTTTTCTACCAGACGGATTATATGTTACTAGAACATGGCGCAACCTTTTATTCAGCAGACCTCCATACATGGGATTCTATCAGTATCTTAAAAGAATAAGACCACAAAATTCCTGTATATTTTCTATCAAAGATCCTTATCATTTCTGTAGCTATGGTGTGCAAAAAGTAAAATTGAAGGTACCATGGGATTTTTTAATGAAAAATTAAAACCATGATCAGGTACTAGAGCCGTACAAATCTACTCTGGTACAAATCCAGTAAATATACTGGATTGTTTAATTTATACCATACTTGAGTTTGACCCAATTCCGATTTCGGGTTTGACCGAGAAAAGATTAGGAGCACCCCTTCATTTTGCCCTGTCAGGAGATGTGTCACATTTTATGACTCTAAGCTGTAAGGTCGTAGGCCGTCACATTTCTCTGTGGCGCTAGTTACTATGTATAAACTAAAATCATGGGTATATTTCTTAGAGTTTAACTAAGAAATATACAATGTAACTAGATGTTCTTGAAAAAGCAGAATTGGGTTATAATATTATATTGATTCGTGTTGTTGATATAAAAAATATGATCAATGAATTGAATTTTCCCAAGTTTTGTGAAATTTATTTTCAAGACCATTACCGGAAATATGAAAGAAAAAACTTGGAAATATGAATCAATAAAAAAGCATGGGCCAACATCAATGCAAGTAAAAAGGAACAGAAAATATCCTTCTCCAGGTGAAGGGTGGGAATTCCGTATCTAATAAATATCTGTCTGTCAATATTTCCCATTATCCAAAACCTCGAAGCTGCTCTCAAGAACTATCTTTATTCTGAATGAATTGTAGTGATATTTTCTTATATTTCCAAATTAAGAATTTTTCTTTCTCAGTGGTTACATTGATAATTCTAAAAAATATTTAAATAAGAATTTACGTGAGAATGCATGATATGATGCTTCTTTGTTCTAGAAAATTAAATGACGAATTGTAGTGAAATACAGTACAGATTCCACATTGATTTTCTCCTATCATGTTTTGACTTCTTGGTGTTAACTCTAGAATTTTTGAAAATTTGGAGCTGTTATTGAGGGCTGTTAAGCATCTTAAAAGTAAACAAACTACTATGTAGTATACATTGCAAGTGGATGATTACTGCCTTTCACTCCACGAGGCGCTCATTCTCCAATAATCCACTTTTATTACTTCTATTTCTTTTCTCCAATTTGAGTAATTTTTACCTGCGTATGGTATCATTTTTCTCAGGTTATGAGAATTCTCGAGCAATGTGGGATGAATATCCTCAGTTCTTGAATTCTGAAGGGATGGAATTGGGATCACATGTAAGTATGGGGGGGAAATACACTATTGATCTTTCTGTTTCGCATTATTTCCCTTTCCTGTGGGTTGATCCCTTTTTTTCTCCTTTATTCATCTGAAGGGTGCCCTTCCTCTCATATTCCATACTGGTTACGGGTACAGTCCTCAGATGCCTTTTGGACCATATTCTCCTGTCACTACACCTTTGCCTTTGGTGAGGAGAGAAAGCCAGATGTACTCCACCCAACAATCCCATTTTACTGGGCCCTATTATCAACAACCAGGCCCTAATACTGTGGCATATTTGAATTCACCTTCATCATCATCTCAAGCAAACTTGACAACATCAATTGGCGTTCAGCAGAAAGGCACTATTCTTACTGATCCGAATTCCATTGGTATGTTGTTTGGGCCTGGACCTAGTTTTGCTGCTTCAAATGGATCTTCTGGGGGAGGAAACATTTCTGGCAGTTCTGGTAACCCATATTTTCATGATACGTGGCAAGTGTTTGATGGATTTGGTCCTGGTGGCCTCTGGTCAGATTGGTTGAAATCACCAGATGGGCTGAGGCCTATGACTCCGTTGTCACCTGCAGCTTCACCACAACCAATTGGAGTTGGGACATTTGGACATGGTCTATCTCCCTTTTCTTCTGGAATGGTACCTTTCATTTATGCGTCTATAGAATAATATAACTCCTCTCTTAGAAATCATAGTATCATGTTGCTACCGAAAAAAATCCTACCTGTATTACAATATTGCAATAGGTTTTTGAGGTTCAATCCTTATTTACTATAATTTCTTGTCTAATGTTGTCTCTTCAGTTGACGGTTTTTGCTGATATTTGACGAAGTATTTATTCAAGAGGATTCAGATACATATTTACAAAAGAAGCCATGGAAATTTTGATATGTTATCATATATATGGATAAATCTAAAATAAAAGAGAAAATATATTGAGAAGAAATGGCAGATAATCTTCACCATTAGAAAGGAGAATATTAAGAATCTGGGGACTTTGGGAAAATAAAAAAAAAATGGAAGAATTATGAGAAAGTGCCTTTTCTTTTCGTCATCTCAGGATCAGGCTGAATCAAGCATGAGTCCAGACTGTGAACAGCATCTTGAATGGCTGATTTGGTACACTATAACCTAGAAAGAAAATGTGATGCTGACAATTCTTCATATCGGCCACAGAGTCCATTGAAATCGAGAGACTGGAAGTTATTTTCTCCCTCATCCAAATCATCAAATAATCCTTGTATTTTTCTTCCTTATCTACAATGGATATGTGGTGAATCTAGATTCCAGTTGGGATTTCATAGCTCAAATTCGATTATCCAGAAAGCATAGAAAACTGGATAGAAAGGGAATGTACTGTTTCCTAATCCTCGCTGGAGAAGTTTCTACCTTTAGCAGCTTATGGAACGTACCAGACATAAATAAAATATCCTTTATAACATTTAATTTGATGTTAATATTCCTCGAATGTCTAATACCATTTTCATCATAGCTCAGTTTGATTCCAATAAAGAATTGGCAGCTACATATGAAAGATAGTGTAATGTATCCCTATCCTGTCGTAGAAAAGTTTCTACCTTCAGCACTAGTATGATGGATTGAACATAAACAAACTTCTCTGTTAGACTTGGACGTTTGATGCTGAGTTTCCTAGATTCCTAATATTATATCTACTTGGTTTGGGGAAAAGAGAGTTAACTGATTGAGAGTATATGACAAAAAATCAACCAAATTTCCAACTAGTGATTGGTTTTTCCTTTTTCCTTTTCTTTGAAGAAAGATATAAAGCTGCCTCCATGTGTTCAATATACTGTTTTTCTTCCTCGCACCATCTCAACATGACTCATGCCTTGTGAAACTCACTTCTGACTGACGTACCTCACATAAGGATATTTCTTTGATGATGTCTACTTTTTTAACGTTTTCCCTAATCTGGCAGAACTTATATTATAATGTCCTAATTTGCTGCCTTGAACAAAAATCAGTGATCAAAGTTTCGTTTGAGGGAGCTTACCCTGTCTTTTTATTTTGTGGAGTGACAGTTGAGATCGTCAACATCAGCGCTAAAAATAGAATTAAGTAAGCTGTTGTGTGGGATGCTCAAACACTGCCAAATGGTCTTATGGGAGCAGGTCTCATTACTTGTCACATGAGAGGGCGCTGTTCTTATTGCCAAATAAACTCGATTTCTGGTTATAAATACCCATTATTATGAACGAAGAAGATAAGCTCAGGGAGCAGGAATGGGATATGATAATGTTGAATCATGAAAATAAGAGTTGAGGATCTAAAATAGGGTGATTACCCTGAGTAGTGTTAATGTCATCCATAATTATTTTCTCTGTTTATCTGACATCTGTTTCTATCTTTCCATGTGCATATACACCCCTTATTAGCCAAGGAAACTAATAGGACTCGAGCTCTCTTAGGAAGTAGGTCGAGGATCAACATTTCTAACAAGAATCGCAATCAAACTCCACCTTTCTCTTATAGATACCTGACGACGTTCACTCGTGATCTTGTGTGAACTTCTGGAAGCAGTTTTACGATTCATTCAGACTCAATACTTCCATTCATTTATCATGGTGTCGGTCTAGATTATGCAGCTTCTACGCCGTTGAATGTGTTTTTATGTTACCAAAGCAGATAAAGTTAAAGATCCTGATCAAAGATAATTTCTTCTAAGTCATTTATATTTTTGTTACTGTCTCTCAAGATTTTATTGAGCACACTGGTTGCTGTATTCAATTATTTTTTCATGAACTTCTACTGGTTAGTTTAATTCCGCATCTAAATGCCCAGGGATCTCCACGGCAAAGACCCTATGATAGAGAGTACCAACGCGGAGGAATACGTCGTCAAGGAACCGATTTTGCGGTTAACGTGGGATTGAATGGTTACGGATTAGTCGCCGTTGACAAAGGCCGACCGCGAGGAACTGGCAGTGCTGATTTGTGCAGCTGCAACGGTCCACTTGACTTCCTTAACGAGCAAAACCGTGGACCACGGGCTATAAAACCAAGGAACTTGGCTGGAGATCCAAATTCACCCGTTGATGTAAAGTCAACAGGTGTTCGAGTGGACTACGAATCCTACAACAATCCGGACTTCAAGACCGAGTACGACGACGCCAGATTTTTTATCATCAAATCCTACAGTGAAGATAACGTGCACAAGAGCATCAAGTACGGTGTCTGGGCGAGCACGCCAAACGGGAACAAGAAGCTGGACGGCGCTTACAGTGAGGCAAAGGGAAAGGGAGCCGAATGCCCGGTCTTTTTACTCTTTTCGGTAATTTCTCTATCCGGGTACCTGTTTGTTTTTTTTTTTTTTACCTGAAAAGCATCATTCGCTGCCTGTTGAAAGGTGGCCCCAGTTTTGGCGGTGGTCAGCTTTGACTGGGTTGAACTGGACATAGGTCAACGCAAGCGCACATTTCTGTGGGGTGGCGGAGATGGTTGGGGCGGTGAATTTTGAGAAGAGCGTGGACTATTGGCAGCAGGACAAGTGGAGCGGTCATTTCCCCGTTAAGTGGCACGTGGTGAAGGATGTTCCCAACAGCCTGTTCCGTCATATCATCCTCGAGAACAACGACAACAAGCCTGTGACGAACAGCCGAGACACGCAGGAGGTGCCGATCTTCTTCATTTTTCTATTTCTCTACTCCCTATTTCGCGCCTGAGCTCTCCATTCATGGGGTAATCTGAGAAACAGTGGTTTGCTGTGTCATATTAGAATGGGGGAGCAGCCATCGCTCTCAAGTAAAATGAGAAGGAGGGATGTTAAATACGAGGTTCTTTCGTCTGATTCCAGACGGATGAAATGATCTTCGTCTTCCACCTCATTATTAATTAGGTCAGATCCACGAGCTAGTTAATATCCTTGCAAAATCATGTGGGCTCTATCTCTGTGCAGGTGAAATTGGAGCAGGGCCTGGAGATGCTGAATATCTTTAAGAACCATGAAGCTCGGATGTCCATTCTCGACGACTTCGATTTCTACGAGGAGAGGCAGAAAGCCATGCAGGAGAGGAAAGCCCATCAGAGGCAGCAGCAGCAGCAGCAGCAGCAGCAGCAGGTGGACAGTTCGCCAGCGCAGTTTCCGGCGATGTCGGTGGGCGGCGGGCGGTACAATCCGGGGACGGCCGCCGGCAGCGGCGACTATGTGAGCCAGTCGTTTGCGAAGACGTTTGCGCAGGCCGTGAGGCTGGACGAGAAGAAGGACGAGTCGGCGGCGACGACGGTGGCGGGGGAGGGGGTCCCCGCCGCCGCCGTCGCTGCTGAATGCTTCCCAAATATGGGCCTGGCGGCGCCGGTGAAGGGCGGCGGATAGGGAGACCGCCCACCATCACCGCCATTCGCTGCTGCCTCATTGGAGCATTTGGTCTGGTTTGCTTGATTTCTTCTGCTCTCTCCCTATCAGGGTTGGAAATGTAGCTACCGCAAAAATCTACCCCTCTTTTCTAATGCTCTTTGTATAGTTCCCAGACCGGAAGGCATGAATAAAGATGAATAAAGATGAACAAGCCTGAGTTTCTGACGCTCAGATAGAGAGAGAGAGAGAGAGAGAGAGAGAGAGAGAGACTAAGTGACTGAAACATCCCATCTCATGTCCTCTGCATTGATTGCCTCGACGTCACATACGATTGTTCAACCCTATGTAATAATCTATTCCAAGTGGGGGCTTATTCAATAATAAACATAATCACTCTTATTCACGGCTCAAGGGCTTATGCGACGAAATTATTAGCTAGTTGCAGCCAACGAGGTCACACACTCTTGACTTTTTCATCATTGGTTGCAACAGTTTTTAGCTTCCAAATGTAAGTAATGTTTTCATAAGAATAATAATAATACCTAATAATAGAGCATAATAATAATAAAAAACAATAATATTAGAACAAACTAGACAAAGGTATGGAATTGCAGATTTAGCAAGATCAATGAGCTTAAATAGGAGAATGGACGATGTTGCTGACATATTATGTAATCTTGTTTTTGGGTTTTGTTCTATGTATTTTTTGATCTTTTCTCTTGTTTTTCCTTCTCTAGTCATTATGAACTGAATTGTGTTAGTTTGGACCAGTCCAATTCACCATCTACATTAGCAGACACTATAAATATCAGTGTTGATGCAAGTCCTAAAAGTGAAAACATGAAATAGGCTTTTAGGGTTTTAGGTGTCTCCTCATCTCTTGCTCCGTCCCCCCTCTGTTGCTATCGTGGCCGAAGATTAGAGAAGATTGAGGATTTCAGGCACTTAGACATGTTATCGAAGCTTTAGGTGTGATCTCTCTTATGACTTAACTATATTGGATCTTTCCTTCTTGATTGCCAGTCTTTCATGAGTGATGATTGTTGACATGAATCATTGGTTATCATTCTTGCACTGATTTATGGAACTTTTGATATCATTGGCTTGTGTTTTATTCCCGCACTAGTCATGTTGTGGATGATATCACTGGTTCTGATGACACAAATTTGATTTATCATTTTTTCTGGTTCATTTATAGATGACAATGTAAAAATGTCTTAGACTACATCAAGTTTAGGAAATCAACAAACCTTAAGGTTTGATAAAAACCATATGTATGAATAATTATCTACCATATCACAAACATACTAACTAGATGGATGAAATTTCTTTTGTTAGTCTCAACAAATTGGAGTTATATTAAAAGGTAGATGAATGTTTAGGAATCTCCTAAATTCAAAGCCAAAACATGAGGATTTCAAATTTGAAATTTGAGATCAAGTAAACTCAAGGATCATAATGTTGTTGTGAACCACCATGATTCATGAAATTAAATGGTATGTTAATATCTTCCTACAATTAAAGATATTTACAATAATCTACACCAAATATATTCATGGGCAAGAGATGCATCACAACTTTATGAATTAAAAGTCAAACTATGACGACTCATGATTTGAGGTTTGAGATCAAATAGGGTCAATAATAATGTTATAGTTGTGGACTGCCATGATTTCTAAAAACAAAAGGGTATACTTGTATCTTCCCTTGGCAAAATGCATTTAGGATAAGTCACACAAAATGTCTTCATCTGCAATAGATGTATCACAATTTTGTGAATTGAAATGAGAATGATGACTATAAGATAGAGAGAAATCAATAATTGAGTATAAAAACAAAGTGACATATTGTGATAGAACTATGATCTGTTGATCTATTGAATTTAAGGGTACACAGATTAAGAAGTGGGGTTGAATGATCACTTTCTAATCCTTAATTTAATAGACTTTCTTATTTAATTTGAATTTACATCTTCTAAGTCGAGTCCTCATACATTAAAGGTGTGAGACTAGGAGATTTTTATAATGATTTGACACAATATCTTTATCCACTCTCTAAGAATAATATATGTTCTTTAGTTTCACTAAGATTGACTATTCTATCATAATTATTAATTATCAGTTCAACTCCCACTTAATTTCACCATAAAATTCTCTTCTAGATTCACAGCTCTAGATCATCAACAATTGATTAATATGTTCAAGCCTCTTAAGTGATGAAAGATATTAATCACAAATTTATTCAAAAAATAATAATAAATGATTTTATTGTGAAATAGTTTTAGATAAGAAAGTTGACTTTCACTACTTTTAATATTTTGATGAAGAAATAGATATTAGAGATTTGGATTTTCACTATCCTCTTCTCTTAATGGTGATGATGAGAGGTAGAAACATTATATATTCTAATAGAAGAGAAATTATGGATAATTGAGAACAACTTATTGAGTTGTAATTTACACACAATTCAACAAGTGGTGAAACTTTTTGATTTATCTCTAAATTTTCTATAACAAAAACTTCATATAGAGTTTTAATTTGTAGTAACAATGGATATGAATGTTCATCAATCATTAGCCATTGGAAAGACATGAGATACATATTCATAAGATATTGTCAAATTCAAAAGGGATATCATAGTATCATTCTCTATTGAAAAGAACCTTTGTTTTAATTGATGGTACCTTACATGAAAAAGAGTCATATTTTATAGTGTCTCATGTTTAGGGGGGAGATCAAGTCATTGAAGATCAAGAGGTAAATTTATTAATTCATATTCCTAGTTATTTACCAGAATTTACCTCATTATTTACATCATCATCTATTTCTAAGCATATTCAGCAAATAATTTATGAAGATGCAAGATTTGGCCATGTATTTAAAGAAGAAGATGGATGTACTAAAATCTATGCATATTCAAGAATCTCAATAAGATATTAAAAATGAGGCATCAATCTCCTTACATTAACATAAAAGTGAAGATCTACTTACTATTCTTAAAAAAGGATAAGTGAATGTACAAGAAGATCCCTCATATCTGATTGCATATTTTTTTGTCCTATGAATGTTTATCACAATCACATAGGACTTTTATGTCTAGTTTAATTAGTATCATTATCCCTACTAATGCTTTATCTAGTGAAAAATAGAAATGAACTATGAACAAAGAGATGTAGGCTTTAGTGAAGAATAATATTTTGAAGTTGATGCTGCCAATATGAGAGAAAGTCATTAGCTATAAATGAATCTCTACAGTAAAATATTAACTAGATGGATCTGTAGAGAGATAGAAGATCCAATTGGCTACTTAAAGGCATACTTAAGCCTATAGGGTTAGTTACATTGGGTTGTTTACTCATGATAAAAATAAACATTGTCATTTTTTTTTATAATTAAAGACTAGTTATTGTTGAGATCTTGATGTGAAAAATACAATTTTACATAGTGAATAAGAAATCTATATGAAGGTCCTACTAGGGTATGGAAAGAATTTGGTATCTAAATTGAAAAAAGTCATGATTACCATGGGATACAAACAAAGTCAAGGTGATTATAGATTGTTAACACTTACTCCAGAGGTATTATAACATTATTAGTATATGTTGATCACTTAATTGTGATTGAAAATAAAGAAAATGAATATTTAATTCAATGTCTAATTAAAAAAAATAAGATTAAAATATAGGAAGATTTAAATACTTAGAATTGAATTATCTTACACAAGGAAATATATTTTTATCTCTTAAATATGTTATGGATCTGCCATAAGAAAGAGGAAAATCTCTATGTAAATTAGTAATAACTTCAATAGATCCAAATCTCAAAATTAAAGAGCTGAAGAAGATGTGGCTATAGATAGGGAGATGCATCAACAATTCATTAGAAGATTGATTGATTTATTTTATACACCACCATATATACTTTATGCAATGAGTATGATTTGTAAATTTATACATATTTCAAAATAAATACATTTATTATATTATCGCAAGGGGACGCCATAGAAAGATATCTTATTACATGGAGAAAAAGAAGTAAAATATGGTGATGAGGTTAAGTGCAGAAGTAGAATTTAGGGTTATGATTCAAGATATATGTGAGGCATTGTGGGTAAACATTATTTTACTATACTTGAAGATCATGAGGGTTAATCTAATGAGAGTTTAAGAGGGATGGATCAATGAGACTTTATTATAAAAATAAATTAACAATAATCCAATTCAGTATGACCAAACCAAATACATTAGTATTGATCAATACTTTATTAAGAAGTAAGAAAGTGTACTATTTGTACACCATATTTACCAAAGGCTTGAATAGTACTATTTTTCATCATTTTATATCAAAATTGAGAATGGACAATATATATTCACCAACTTAAAGCAGAGTGTTCAAATGTACTTTTTCTTTTCTCATCATTGTGAACCAAAACGGTCCAATTCGGACCCATTTGGTTCGCTCTCTATATTAGTGGGCTGTTATAAATACCAATCATGATGTAATCCCTAAAAGTGAGAGCATGAAATAGGGCTTCAACTCTTTTCTCATCTCATGGTCTGTTCCCCCTTTGTTGCTGCTGCAGCTGAAGATCGAAGAAGATCGATTGAGGATTTCAGGCACTCCTTGAATTGCACCCCCATCTCAGAGGGAAGAAAACCAAAACTTTGGTAGTCTAGATGGGAATAATCACTTCCAAAAGATCTGGGTTCAAAAGAATTCGTCCTTTTGATGAATTTACATTCATTAAAAGTCAGCTAATAACCTTTGAATTTAGACATTTGATTATGCACATGTTCATCTGAATGGGAAACATAATGAGGTTCGTTTGTCTTTCCCCAACTTGAGACAATGGAAGCAAAATTAAATCTTGAAAGTTTGGGCTGTCAATCGATACGAATTCAGATTAACAGGTAGCCATAATAATCAGCATTGATCATCCAGCATGAGGGGATGCATATGTGGCAGAATGTGTCGCAGAAATACTGGCAAAATGATGCAACTGGAAAGAATCTTATCAATCTAAATTAACGGGTATAACAAGCAATTATAGCCTAGAAAGAGAAGACGAATTGCTCCCATAAAATTTAAATCACCAAAAGGAATGAGAAGAATACCAAATGTCCCAACATCATGCAAACCAAAATCCTTCCAAATTCAAATGTGTGTATAGAGAACTAGAAAAACTACCACAAGATCTATAAGAAATACAGAAAATGCCAAAACCGTAAGAAAATTCCAAGGACAATGACACTTCATGACTCATGGGGCCGTTGAGTGATATGTTCCAGTCTTGAGGGGCCAAACCCGGCAATTTCAATTAATTTGATGGTCTTTGGAAACTAGGAACGTTGTTGCAGCAGCCTCCGTGTTGCAGGTTCTCTTGAAGAGTACCCTGAACGCCCCATCCTGCACAAAGGGGATCCCCATGCTCAAACCTTAGGGCCAGACAACTGGACTGCAATGACTGACTTCTCCCTTCAAGTCCGCAGAGGACATGTTCGCAGAGAAACAATAGAACAGGGGCCAGATGCTCCAGAGCCATCAGAAGTGGAATGTTGGAGGAGCTAATTCCACCACTCTTCCTCTTGAGGCAAGAATCTGGGGACACCAGAGACACTACACCCTAATTCGTTCTTCTAAAATACAAAATGCCGTTAAAAGAAATTAATTAAATTGATTCATAAGCTCCCCGGAGGAGTCTGTCCCTTTTCCTGTGGAAACCCTTGAGGCCCGCTATCTTGGGAGGAAGGTAACAATTAAAGGCAAGTGCTGATCCAAGCAGTGATTCAGTCAAGGACATAGATACGGGAGGCAATGTCCTGGACCAGCCAGTCAAAGCCCTCAACCAGCCCCTCTCCTGTATATGCGCTGCATCCAGTGATCTTCCAGTGCCGGGTCTTATCGATGGAGCCCAAATTCAGCACCTGCAGTTCACATGGGCAACAAGGCAATCAAAAGCAGCGACCACGATTCCTCACTAATCTCACCCATTTAGACACAAGCTTCCTACATAATCCATGGCCAATCTCTATCTACCTGAATTTCTGCAGTGCCTCAGTTTTCTTGCCTCAACTATTCACATGAACGTTGCAATGCATTTTACAATGGTGATCCCAAACCTAAAAGTAATATAAGTATTTTAAGGTTCATCAGGTTACACATAGTTCCTCCATTGTTCAACCTTTGACACCCTAAAAATGGGGTTTTAGACCACCTTGTACTGGTTTCAGATTGAAGCAATGAAAATAAACAAGTCGCACATAGTTGTTTCTCTGCAATAGGAATCATTCTTGATGGAAAGCAGATGACTTTGCATCAAACGTTACACATAAGGTCGGAAATGAAGATATAATGTAGATAAAACGATAAGCAGCAAATAAACCATTCAGCAAGTTTAATCCTTTTCCTACATTAGTTTTTGCCAGATTACGCCAAGAGCCACATCATTGATATTACTTACCTTAGAAATCTCATCGGGTGTAAGAGCACCTTGTATATCCTGTTTATTTGCAAACACAAGCAATGATGCGCCGGATAGTCTCTGTTGAAAAGCAAACAACGGGAAACATTCACAAAATACATTCGGAAAAAATATGGCAGCAGTAAGAGCTTGTAGTGAAGAAAAAGAAACAAAGGTTAGTCGACCTCTTCTTTCAAGAGATTATTCAGTTCTGATCTGCAATCGTCCAACCTCCGCACATCCGAGCTATCAACAACCCAGATCAATCCGTCAGTCTGTTCAAAGTAATTTCTCCAGTATGACCTGATAGTCTTCTGGCCACCAATATCCCATATATTCAAAGAATATCTGCATAGATCGTGAGATCAAAACCATGAGAAAGAATATGATGAACCACAGGAACAAAAAGGTAGCCCTCAGACAACTCTATGAAAGCAGTAACTCATACAGATCAATCATGCTGAAATAGTGCTTACTTATGGTATTGAATGGTCTTGATGTTAAATCCTAGAGTGGGACTTATGATGCTCGTATCCTCACCATTTATTTTGAGCACAATAGTTGTCTTCCCTGAGTTATCGAGTCCTCTGACAACAACAATAAGAAAAATCATAGTTTAGAGTTAGTTTTAGCCAAAGGTTTGTGCTGAGAGATGATGTCTCACGAAATTGATAATGACAGCGTACACCATAAGAATGCGCATCTCTTTCTCCTTCTTCTTTATTTTCCTTATAATGCTAAGGAGTCCCATAGCAACAAGCTGCAGAGTACTGGCTGCTTTAATTCAAGAATCTGAAGTCAGCAGGGACAAAAAGAGAAAATAAAGTGAGAAAAATAATATGGAACGTTCATAGATAAGACATCTCCAGGAATAATGAGGCTGGAATTACCATTATATATGGAATAACAATTAAATAAGTAGGTCCCTTTTCGTACATCAAGTTCAAGATTTAATGGAGAAAACCCAAGGGCTTGTGCACGAACAAATCTATTGTAAAATACAAACACAGAACCCAGGAATGCGTGCTCATCAAAATCATAGATCCCAATAGGTCCTTCTGACCAAGTTTATTTCGCGTCTAATTATTTATAAAAAATAGCAGATCAACCACAACATTAAATAACCCTAATGGAATTATTGGCAACTTAAGCTAAATACGGTTTTACAGCGGTTGCATCTCATAGTTGGCATACCAACCACGTGTTCTTGGTCGATTCAATGCTCAAAACCAGACTGTCAGGATCGTTGGATCTTACATTTTCAGATATATGTATGATGCAAATCTGTCATGAACTAAGACCGTGCCTGTGGAAGAAATAGCATTCGCCATCGACAGAAATAACACATCTGGAAAAACACTGAATCATCCCAAGTCGAATTCAGTTTAAACACCGATCACAATTTTAAAAGAAAAATTAGAATCCAATGAAAAAACCCAACTACAGTTTCCATCTTGAACCATTCAATTTACTAGAGTGACAGCTGAATTATGAAGAACGTGATGCTGAATTTAAATTCACAAGAAATTAACCCAGTGCACATAAATCTCAAGAAGGAAACTTGGAAAATCAAGGATTTTCCGAGAAACGATACAAGATTCAGATATTTTTCATCAGAGAGCTGTGAAATGACCGTAGGGCACTGGCTTCTGGTTTATAAGATTCGATGTCAATTGGCCGGTCGTACCGAATTCTTATCCCAGTCTCTGGACAAGTGACAAGGTGCTCACGGGCAGAGGTGAAGGCTCTAGGATGATTCTTATGGCTCACGGTGTTGGTTCCTGTGGGTGAGGGTCTTCACGAATGAGGAGCTCAGGGCAAAATGCTCAGCCCGACCATGGGGTTCCCAAACGAGAACGGGATCGATCAAGAAACCGTCTGTGCGCGTAAAGGATGAAGATAATGTTTTATGAGCATCGATTACCTGATGACGGCACCGGAGTGGCCGCTAGCAGCGCGATCCCCCGCCAACGAGAAGCTGGTGAGGTGGTCGGCGGCAGGCAGTCGCTGCGGAAGGAGAAGTGGTCTGCCGTCCGGCGGAATTCCAGCAGGCGGAATGGCAAGGAAGCGAGCTCCCGAGAGTGGCCCAAAGAACGGTCTATGGGCTGAACAGGCTCTGGGCCCGTATAGGAAGATGGGCCTTTTATCCACTGCCATTTATGGAGATCAGAGGTGGAGTACTGTCAGCCCCACGGATCGACTCTGCGAGAGACACGTCATCGCCCTGGACAAGGTTCACTGAAGATGGGCGAGATGGCAGAGGGTGGGGGACAAAGTTGAGACGCTCGCTCCCCCGGCCTGCCGTTGCTAGTGATGTTGGCTACCTCGAGCCGGGCGAGTTTATCAGGTCTCCTCCACCACCGTCTTCTGCCGGCGTCTCCGTCTCCACCTCGTCCGCCTCCTCTGGGATGGGAAGAGTGGGGGCTGGAGAGGAGGAGGAAGGGGAGTCCAGCAGTGAGGCTGCGGGCGCATGCGCATGGCGCCTCCCCACTGCAGCAGCAATCTGAGGCTTGTCAAAGCAACGATGAAGGAGAACAGGCGATTGAAGAGGTCAGTGGTCCAATGGTCGCTTCTTCTGCCGTTATTCTTGCCTGTACTTCGTTTGACTGGCGATTCCATGGGGGATCTTCCTGCTGAAGTCTGGATTTGTAAGCCGCAATCCGAGGAGAAAACGTCTCTTTGGGCAAGGGATCTGGTTGCCCCCAATCGGAGCGAACCCTCGAACGACGGGATGGGTTGTCAAGCCCGAATTCCCTGAAGAATTCCCTTCGAGGAACACCACGATGCCATTCTCATTCTTCGAATTGGGGCTATCCGTTCTCTCAGTCAAAACTGGGCCGGCGTATATTACGATGCAGAAAGTTCGACGGCAATACTTTTGAATTCATACGATGAAACGATCTGAATAATGCATCTACGAATTATTTGCTTTCTCAGAAAAGTTTTTCGCGGCGAATTCGCCAAAGAAACAGTCCATCCGTGCTGGTTTCCATATGCTTTAGAAACTCTGACCACCGTTGACATGAATGCTCGGATTCGCCTATTTTTCTGAAACTGATACTGGAAACATTATGGCTCAGAAAACAATCTCAAACGCATAACCAGAATTTTTTTTCTCTTGCCGAGACAAGACTGCAGTCATTCTGTGCGATCCCTGCAAGGGCAGGGGCTGGTTGCTCTGCGATTTTTGCAGGGGACAGAAGATAAATGTGAAGTCTGAAAGCAACCGGATCTATCGGCGCTGTCCCTCTTGTAAAGCTGTGAGTCAATACGCATCATAAGCTGCTGAACATGATGATTATCAATGGCACTGCAGCGCTCTCACACATCTTCCCTTTGCAGGCCGGATATGTGCTGTGCCCAAAATGTAAAGTCTTCAAGTGCGTCACCTTCCCAGATTATGGTGATGGCGAGATGTGAGGATGAGTTATAACATAATTTTTCTCACTCTGTAACCAAGCTTTTCTGCTTCACGCTTGAAATACTTCATGCAAGTGTTCTCAGGGATTCCTGATCTGTCGGCTGTTCTCCTTCTATACATGGAACATGCAGATTCTATTGAAGTACTGCATTAAATGATGCAACCTGAAAATCTATCACCTCTCTCTCTCTCTCTGTATCTTTTGGGTTTTTCTCATCTCTCAAGAATGAAGCTGTCACACTGATATCTTTTGCACGCTGATATGCTGGGAAATTATGCTGTCATTAATGTAACCCAAGCACATTTACTGCTAATACCAATGCATTCTAATGGCCATGTCACCTCCACCATGATTTAAATTAATATGATGAGCGATCATTGTACGTTCCATGAAACACCATCATGAGGAAGTCGATAGCATCCTTGACACATTTAGGCTTGGTCACTGGGAGAATTTAGATTTCTGCCCAAGAATTTAGTTAAATTGCTCTTCACACCTATCACTGACTTTAGGATGATCTGCCATATACTACCCTTGAGTATTGCCCTTATCCTTCTGAGTTATTACATAGATTAGGTGCTCATAACCTTCTTATATTAGCTTTGTCATACTGTAAGCATCTTTTTATTTCCTTGGTTCACTTATTTCGATGAACATGTTGCTCATCATTTGGCGCAACATCTCATGAGCATTGATATCGAATGAGGTGTCATATGCTAATGATTCACCATTGAAATCAATTAGCACTTACAATTCTAGCAATCAAATGAACTGTGCAGCAATTAATGAACTTCAGCCTACACATAATGCACATTTCATCATAAAATGAGCATATACCAGTGGTTATTTCAATTTATTAAAAATCTCATTAATGCAAAAGTCAATAAAAAAAATAAATTCATTCAAATATACCATTGCAAATGAAAACAGCTGCTTGAGGGGAGATAATAAGTACTGGAAATCAAGTCACAAGTAAAAATGCATCAACCGCAATAAGGTGTCACATGAGTAGTTTCTTGTGAGTGGGTGCTGCACGCTCTCTCACATAAAGGTCCCTAGAAATCTGTGTATCTTACTCTAAGTTCTCATACAATGGGCATTGCCCCTTTATATAGTGGTGGGGGTCGTCAACTAGCCATTGCCCCTTCCCTTCTGTTGCCCCTACTCGCATGTTGTCTATTACGCCCTCTTTTGAATAATTCTTTTCGATTTGAGAAGAAATACTTATTGCTAATAATGATTTTATTGAGGGCTCTATAGTCAATGTAGAGTCTCAGTGTGCCATCCTTTTTTCGTTGGAATAGGATGAAAGTTTCTAATAGTGATGTTTATGATTGGATATGTCCCACCCATAGAAGCACATCTTGTTGTCATCGTATCTACTCTAGGTGCACCAGCAGCATCTTATATTATTGGTGGCACTACTAACAAGAGTTTCAAGATCAATTGAAGGACAAACGTGTGCGGCTACATACTTTGGTATGAAGCTTACATCTTTCCCTCGTGGGTCATGAGAATTGAGATAGTGCTGATAGACATTCATATGTCGCTTGTGCTAAGAAGTCAAGACTGAGTACCATATTGAAATTGTCTATTGACAGGACATGGAAGTCCACATGCCTTACTCACATTCTCACCCATAGGGGAATAGATTTAGCCATGCCAACTAAGGGATTGAGTTGAAGCATTTATTGTCTTGATGGAACTTTTCGTTCATGTAAATAATAGTCTATGTCTTTGCACTTCTTGTACCATGAAGTTGTGTGATACCTTGTTGATCATGGTTCTAATGGGATTACCATTGACGTCTACCTTCACACATATCAGTTGATGGTTTTACTATTGATAGATTGATTATTGTGCCTAACAATTCGAAAGTGTTTACCTTCAATATTAGGTCCTTACATGTCAGGCATTTTTCTTGTTGTTTTGGAACATAGTTGATTTATTGGCATTTGTCATCTTGCCTCTCTAGATAATTCCTCTACTAATATAATCTCTTGCAAGGGAAGCATCCCACCTTAGGACACTTAGCTCAGGTTGGTACTAGTGTTATTAGGGTCCATATTGTGGCCACAATTAGTAGGAGTTATGGTGGGTTTTCTACTCCATGGAAATAACTTGTGGTTTTACTCACCTCCTCTCTATGGCACTTGATTACTCCCACCAACAATTTCTTGAGAAGTCTCCTTGAGTAGGGGTAGATCAACAAGGGATTTTATATTAGCATTGCTGCTTGCAAGTCTTACACTCCATTTTGCTTTAACCCAATTTGAGTCAATAGTTTTGAGGCGTACGAGGAAGTGGAATGGACAATTTGTTTAGCATGAGTGATGTGTATTGATAGACATATTCTTTTATAATGCTCATTTGATTAAGGTTTAAGATTGTACTACCTAACTACATTTGATCATTTAGAATAGAAAAATGAACTCTTGACAAAACACATTCCTAGTGCTAATCTCTTAAAGTTTGCAATGCCACAACTTCACATCACATGTCAAAACATAATTGGCTATCTTTACTTTCTCTCCTTCTTCTCACTACATTCCTCCAAATGCTTATCAAGGTTTCATAAAGAAGTAGTCAAATTTGAGATTATCTGTCTCAACTTAGAAGTGCTTCAGCTTCAAGACTGAAACAACTTGTTTGTTATTGGTATATTTGGGAATCATTACTAGCATCATCTTGACTATCTTGAGGCCTACGATTAGATCCCTTAGGCTCTCCTTAACTTCTTCAACACTTATTGGCTCCACCTAAGTCTCATTACTACTAGTCTCTCTACTGATCACTTGTTACAAATCCTCTATCTTATAAAAGTGTACTTGAAGTTGTAAGGTCATAGCTTCCTATTGTTACTCTAAGTACTCAATTTTTTTCTTGACTTGCTCTAGTGTCTTGGGAAGTTGCTGCTTCAACCTTGCAAGCTAGAGTCCTTAGCTCCTCTTTTCTTGCCAGCCATCTTCTTTCTTCCTCCCCAATTTAGCTGTGCATTCTACTTTCATGTGCATATGCTAGTTCTTCCTCATGACATAAGGGGTTAGTCAGACTAGTCAAGTCCTTTGCTGCAGCTACATTGGGGAAGATAATTGAGTAGCCTTCCCCTTTCAAGGCCCAATAATTAGGGGATATCTTTCTAGGTTTACAAGGCACACAAGACTTGCTCACTAGGTGGGATGCATGCGATTTAACCTATAATAAGAAAGGGTGCTTTCTTCTTTCAAGGGCCAAGGGAGATGGGCCAAAGTACCTTGAATCCTCTATTAGAAATCATCGCAAATGTGTATGTTTTACTCTCACAATCATATATGATGTGTACTTATTGTTATGTTTAAATACACATCATCTAATAATATTTATAATTAAGACTTAATAAAATAATAATAAATAAATAAGTCTCAAGTTGAACATAGAGAGATTGATTAATCTGTTATGAAAACTAATTTAGTTTACATATAAAGTGATTTTAATATTTTATCAATATTTAATAGAAATAATAAAATAGAAGGGTGAGGTGAGAAGAATAAAGAAAAGAAAGTAGAGAAAAAGAGGAAAAGAAAGAGAGAGAGTTCTCATAAAGGACGAGATAAGAGATCTTTCATGAATGAGAGAGAAAGAGAGAGGAGAAAATCTCATGTAGATGGAGAGAGAGAAAAGTCTCATGAGAGAGAGAGAGAGAGCGATCAAGAGAGAGAAAGAGAAGGAGATCGATCAATCGAGAGAGAGAGAGAGAAGAATAAAATGATAATAAAGAAAGAGAAAAATATAATCAATCCATTTTCATGATGACCATTATTCTTAGACGAATGTGTGCTTGAGAATTCATAGACATGACATGAGGTTAGCCGTGAATGTCTCCACATTATTTTAACCAGCGATCATTAAGCAGCCTTTAATCTCGCTGATTTTACATTCAAAAATAAAAAAAACTTATAATTCACAGAATGTCGGGAACATAAATACATTGAGATTTGACTGTAAAAATCAATAGAAAATAAGTTAGAAATGATCTTAGCTTAATCTTAGATGAGTTTTAGAGGATTCAGAAGAAGAATAAAGATCATTCATTAAGTTTTGAATTAATTCTACTCATTTCAATCAAATTATATATGAAATAGAAATAACTTGTTGTGAAATATAAATAAATGACAAAAATAAGTAAATAAATGATGAAAGCAAGAAATAAATCATTGCCCAAGTTTAGTTTGTCTTCTAGGGCACTTGAGACATTAGTGTGGTGGCTTGGTTTTGTTCAAATGTGTCACACTACACCGAAAGTCATAGAAATATCGTCTGAAAGTGCTACACCATTTGCCAAAGAGATCTGCCGAAAGAGGGGTCAACCACGTTATCATCGTCGTCTGGGAGGAGGAGTAAAGAGCTGACCACTCGTTGGAGGCCTTGAGTGTAGACGAGGGAGGAAGAAATGAACTTGCTGATCATCGAAGACATTGATCATGCAAAAGGAAGGAAATACAAATTACCGTATTCACGACTACCATCAAGATTTTAAAGATAACTGATAATATATATTTTACTAGATAATAATTCATTATTTTCTTTATATCCCTAATGATAATACGTGTGAGAACTTAAGTTTCTAGTCTCGTGGCGCTTTACAAGCCACTAGATCAGATGTGCTTAGTCACGTGGCACGTCGATTGACACAAGATCAACCCATCACAAATTGCTACCAACCGAGAACTTAAGTCTCTAGTATCGTGGCACCTCCTTAGTAGTCAAATCATCATTTAAGATCACGTGTGTGTTGAGTGGCGTCGGATCAACAAACTATTGATGAATTGTTTTACGTATTGGTATCGTGTCATTTCTCCTACTACACGATCCGGCTTAGATGACATGGCTCGCTGAATATTGTTGCATCACACCACACTCTAAATGACTACCCTAAGACACACGAAAATGTTTAGTCCTACATTGGAAATATTTCAACACATGAGCCAAATATAGATCAAAGCTACCATCTCTCATCAT